CATATACAACAGCTGACTTTTCAATAGGCATGGACCAATGACATACAAGTCATGAAAGAACACAAATTCCAGCCCAGACTACTATACCCAGTAAAACTAACTATTTTAATTGAAGAAGGAAAATCTTTCCATGCTAAAAACAGATTTAAGGAATTTATGTCCAAATTTATGACAATCACAATGAAATACTTCACTCAGAAGAGAAGACTAAATACTCTCAAGGGCACAAAGAATAAATAAATTATCCCAGAACACTCAACCAAAGAGGTCTAAGAAAACAGCACTACAACACCAGCATAGCAGGAATGAATAAACCAATAATAACTCTCAATATTAATGGATTTAACTTCCCAACAAAAATCCACAGACTAACAGATTGAATTGATAATGCTTCATCTAATCATGTGCTTATTAAATTAAAAAAATTAAAAAAAGTTCAAATACTTCTAATAAATGATATATTGATTTTTTTTCTTTTAAAAAAGGAAGCAGAATCCATCAATTTGATGCCTCCAAGAAATGCACCTCACCAATAATGACCAACATTTCCTTAGGGTAAAAGGATGGAATAAAATATTCCAAGGGACTAAGAAACAAACAGGTATAGGTATTCTAGTATCAAACAAAATAGACTTCAAATTAAAGCTAGTCAAAAGAGACAGGAAAGGTCATTTCATACTCATTAAAGGAAAAATCCACCAAGAAGAAATTATAATCCTATACACATATGTGCCTCACAGAGGGGCATCTAATTTCATAAAAAGAAACTTTATTAGCTCAAAAATCTCACATTGACTCCAACACAGTGAGAGTGGGTGACTTGGATACCCCATTGTCACCAATAGACAGGTCAACCAGATAAAAACAAAACAGAGAAACCCTGGAATTAAATGACGCCAGAAATTAAAAGACTTTACAGATATCTATAGAATAGTCCACCCAAATATCAAAGATACACTTTCTTCTTAGTAGCCAGCCCATGGTACTTTCTCCAAAATCTACCACATATTAGGACACAAAGAAAGTATAAATCTAGATATCAACAAAAAAGAAAAAAAGGGAAAAGGTACACAGACTCATGGGAGCTAAACAACACATTACTGAATGAAAATTGGATCACTGGAGAAATCACAAAGGAAATTAAAAATTCCTTAGAATTGAATGAAAGTGAAAGTACAACAGACCAAAACCTTTGTGACACAATGAAGGCAGTCCTAATAGGAAAATTTATAACATTTAGTGTCTATGCCAGAAAATTAGAAACATCACATATAAATAAATTAATGATGCATCTGAAAGCCTTGGAACACCAAGAACAAACAAGGACTAAAATGAGGAGATGGGAAGAGATAAAGAAAATCAAGGTTGAAATGAATGAAATAGAAATGATGAAAACAATACAAAGAATCAATGAAATGAAGACTTGGTTCTTGAAGAGATTAACAGGCTTGACAAACTTTTAACCGAATTAACCAAAAGAAAGAGAGGACCCAAATAAGCAAACTCAGATGAAAAG